ATTTAACAAAAGTATTCAGCACCCAATAAGACAAATTTCATTATGTTGGACATCCAAAAAAGTTATCAGATATGCAAAGGAAGAAAATACAACCGGTAAGGATAAAAAGTAATCAATTGAAACTGACCAAGAACTGACACAGATACCTAACTCTGGGAAATGGACTAGGGGTGGTGGAAGGGGAGGAGGGCGGGGGTGGGGTGGGGGTGAATGGGTGACGGGCATTGAGGGGGGCACTTGATGGGATGAGCACTGGGTGTTATTCTGTATGTTGGCAAATTTAACATCAATAAAAAATAAATTTATTATTAAATAAATACATAAATACATAAATAAATAAATAGTATTAGACATTATGATAGGATATCTGTATTCCATGCTCTGTCCACGTTTTGATTTTAATTTTTTATTTGAGTATAGTTGACAATGTTACATTAGTTTGAGTTATACAACACAGTGATTCAACAAGTCTATATATTAACCTGTGCTTATCACAAACGGAACTCCCATCTGTCATCATTCAACACTATTACAATATCATTGACTATATTCCCTATGCTGTGCCTTTTAGTCCCATGTCATTCATTCCATAACTGGAAGCCTCTATCTCCATCTCCTCTTCCATCTCCCACCCAATTTCCCTCAGCAGCCATCAGTTTGTTCTTCATATTTATAGGTCTGATTCTGCTTTTTTGTTTGTTTGTTTATTCGTTTGTTTTGCTTTAGATTCCACATGAGTGAAATCAGTCCAAGCAGTCTGAGTTATTTCACTTAGCATGGTCCACCCATGTTGTTGCAGATGGCATGATCTCATCCTTTTTTATGGCTGTGTAATAATCCTCTGTGTGTGTGTGTGTGTGTATGTGTGTGTACCACATCTTTATCCATTCATTTATCAGTGGACATGTAGGTTGCTTCTGTATCTTGGCTATTATAAATAATGAAATAAACAGACGTGCAAACATCTCTTTGAATTAGCATTGCATGCCATATATTCATTTTTTTGCACATTTTTTATTGGAGTTCGATTTGCCAACATAGAGTATAACACCCAGTGCTCATCCTGTCAAGTGCCCCCCCCAGTGCCCATCACCTAGTCATCCCACCCCCCCCACCTGCCTCCCCTTCCACTACCCCTTGTTCGTTTCCCAGAGTTAGGAATCTCTCATGTTCTGTCACATATTCAAAAGCTAGAGGAAAAGCTAAATACATTAAGTAGAAATATGGGTGCTAATAGAAAGATCCAAACCGAGCTTCTAGGGCAGCCCTGGTGGCTCAGCAGTTTAGCACCGCCTTCAGCCCAGGACCTGATCCTGGAGACCCCAGGATCGAGTCCCACATTGGGCTCCCTGCATGGAGCCTGCTTCTCCCTCTGCCTGTGTCTCTGCCTCTCTCTCTCTCTCTCTCTCTCTCTCTCTCTCTCTCTCTCATTAATAAATAAATAAAATCTTAAACAAAAACAAACTGACCTTCTAGAGATGAAAACTACAATGTCTGAGATGAAAAATACACTATAATAATTAATGGCAGCTTAGGCATTGCAGAAGAAAAGGTTAGTGAATGCCAAGGCACGTCATTAGAAATGATCAAAACAAGAGGCGCCTGGGTGGCTCAGTCGGTTAAGTATCTGCCTTCAGCTCAGATCATGAACCCTGAGGCCTGGGATCGAGCCCCTCATCAGGCTCCTACTCAGCAGGAAGTCTGCTTATCCCTCTGCCCCTCTTCCACTTGTGTTCTCCTTTTCTCTCTCTCAAATAAAAAAAAATAGAAGCTTAAGGAACTATCAAGGTGAAATACAGAGAGAAAAAATAGCTAAAATATGAACACAGCATCAGTGAGCTGAAAACAACTTTAAGCAGCCTAACAGACATGTAATTGGAGTCTGAATAAGAAAGGAAGGGGGTGGCATAAAGAATATTGGAGGGGGGTGCCTGAATGGCTCAGTCATAAACCAGTTAACTCTTGGTTTTGGCTCAGGTCAGGATCTCAGGATCATGAGATCAAGTCCCACATCAGGCTCCACAGTCAATGTGGAATCTGCTTGAGATTCTCTCCTTCTCTCTCTGTACCTCCCCCTCCATACTCTCTCTCTCTAAAATAAAGAAATAAATAAAACACTTTAAAAAGTACTTAAGGAAATGATGACTGAAAAATTTTCAGATGTGCAGAAGTCAATTGTTAATGTCTAAAATTGTGGGGGGGGGAATAGCAATATAAGGATATTATTTAGAAATGTAAATATCATGGTATCAGAAATACTTAACAGAGTTGAAATTGCTTGACATTGTTGGAAAAGTGTAGATGCTGGCACTAGACTCCCTAGGTTTGAATCCTGCCTCTAACCCTTACTTGTTGGGTGATCCTCGGCAAATCATATAATCTCTCTGAGCCTCATTCTCTCACTTTAAGAGAGGAATAATAACAGCTTCTATCTCATGAGGCTTTTGAGAGGATTAAATGAGTTAATGCTTACAAGGGCTTAGAATAATGCTCAACACAAAGTAAATGCTCAATATTATTCTTATTGGAGAACAGAAATCAGCAGGGAGGAGAAGATTGCTATTTCTTGCAATATGACTATTTTTTCTTTTTTTATGACTATTTTTTTCATATGACTATTAGTAATAGTTGAGTTTTTAACTATGCATAAGGATTACTTTAATATAAATAACTTTCAATGTTTAAGAAAAGTAAGTCAGAGGTGAGGAAATGGTATCGTCTTTGAAGAAATTTGCTCTGCGGGAAACAGAGGGATAGGGCAAAAGCTAGAAGGGGTATAAGGGAGAGGAAAGTTGTGAGTATTATATTTTTTAGATAGGAAAGACATGAATGAGTTTAAAAGTGGATGTGAAGTCAACTAGGGAAAGGGAGAAACTGAAGCTATGGGGAAAAAAGGAAGCACGTGGTGCACCTGGGTGGCTCAGTTAGTTAAGCTCCTGCCTTTGGCTCATGTCATGATCCAGGGGTCCTGAGATTGAGCCCCACATTGGGCTCCCTGCTCAGCAGGGAGTCTGCTACTCCCTCTCCCTCTGCAGCTCCCCCTATGTGTGCTTACTCTCTCTCACTCTCTGTCAAATAAATAATTTTTTTAAAAAAGGAAGCATGTGGCCAAAGTACAAATGAAGGAACATCTCTACTATTATAATCAAAAGGCAGGAGCAGCCTGGTTGGCTCAGTCGGCTAAGCATCAGACTCCTGATCTCAGCTCAGGTCTTGATCTCAGGATCATGAGTTCAAGCCCCACCTTAGGCTACACACTAGGCATGGAGCCTAATTTTAAGAAGGAGGGGGCAGAAGTTACAGATATGGATGCAAGTGTGCCCAGCAATTTGGTTTGAGAAGCTGAGGGCTTAGTCCTTTCATACGTACCACTCTATCTCCTAAAGAGGACATAAAGTCATTTGCTGGGCATGAGCAGGAAAGTGGCATGGTTGAAATTTTTGAGTTGAACACAGAAATTTTGAAATAGCCATTAGAGAGACAAAGCAAAAAGAAAGCTGACCAAAGCCACATAGCAGCATTTCAGGGCTCCAATGAGATTAGAAGCCATAAATGTGTGGTGCAGTAGAACTAACCTCTTTGGTTATGTGGTTTTCTCCAGCAGGGTTCTGCAACTCAAATATAGACATGGAGAAGGTAGGAGGAACTGGGCTGATTCAGGGTTGGGAGTGTTGATCAGGTTAGTGTGATAAAAACACAGTGGAAGCAAGGAAGTGGGTATATTGCAATAAGAGTGAGTAGCTGAAATGAGCAATCAGAGATCCTCAATAGGCCAAAAACAGTATGTAGCCGGTAGGTAGGTGTTGGGTCTTAGGAGTCCCGATGAAGTTGAAGAATAGATACATTGGAAGAAAAGCAATCAACTGTAAGTACAGATACTGTAGTTAGAACATGAGATGCTTTAATTTATTATCTAAGCATAATTCTGAGTGATGGTGAGATTCAGCATGAGAGTCATGGAAGTGGGTGGATGGAGTAGAGCAGAGGTGAGGGTCACTGGAAGTGGAGATGGCAAGGAGCCAGGAGACTAGATGGCTAGAGTAACAGATGGGGTCAGCCACATGGATGCTGCCAGTGTCATCAGAAATTATGGCAAAAGCAACAGAAAGGAATACTGTGAACGTGGAGCCAAAGCCTTCAGTAAATGAAAGAGAGGTGGAAGGAGGTCACATTTGCCTAATGAGTCCCTGTAGCCCTTTGAAGCCTTGGTGACTCTACTGAACAATGTTCCATTTTAGACTTCAGATTCTTTGCAAATGATATACAGATAGCCTTCTAAGTCATGAGCCCTCTGAAATCATATGCAAAATTTTTTTAAGATTTTTTTTTTTTTTTAGAGAGAGAATAGGCGGGGCAGGGAGAGGCAGAGGGAAAGGGAGAAGCAGGCTTCCCTGCTGAGCAGGGAGCCCAACATGGAGCTCGATCCCAGGACCCTGGGATCATGACCTGAGCCAAAGGCAGATGCTTAACTGACTGAGCCACCCAGGCACCCCCATGTGCAGAACGTTATGGGTATATATCTAATACGCATTTTTCCCTCAGGAAGAGGGCTCGTGACATTCATCACATTTTCAAAGGGGTGACTGATTAAATAAAAGCCTAAGAATTTACTGCTCTCTACTCATCTGTGTGAGACATAACGAAATGAAAGCAATAAAAAACACACAAATACTTAGGGAGGGCACACACCTATCCCTGTGGCCAAAAGTCTCTCTCCCTACGCTAACACCAATATAGAAAGCTCCAGCACTGAGCGGGCAGCGGAGAGCTAGGGCACAGCTAGGGTATGTGGTTGGCTGTGTGTTAGGAGAAACAGTAAGCTACACAGAGAGAAGGGTGCCAGAAATCCACAGGGCAATGTAGCACTGAGGCTTCGTAAAACTATTTGGTAAGATCTTTAGGTGGCAGCAGCTACATACGTGCCCTGACAGAATTAAGTGATTTCCAGCTGCACCCTTTTCCTAAGAGCAGGCATGGAAAACAGAACCAAGGGAGCTCACCTTTCAGCAATATTCTTTGCAGATTGGAGAAACCGTGCCTGGTCATTTTCTTTCAGGATATGCTCAGCCTGGTTGATGAGGACTGTTGACCGTTCAAGACACTGTCGACAATTAGCAACCTGCTGTGCCAACTTTCTTAGCTTCATAACCTTAAAGGAATGAACACAAAATGAGATTAAATATCCAGGGCTTTAAAAAGAAAACATGTAGGGGTTAATTAAAAACGATAAAACAACATGAAGGAGATCTGCTGCAGTGATTCTAAAAATAGGCCTATTAATCTCCCATGGTCCCTACACTAACCACTCATCTTCTCAACCTGCCGGCTCTGTGTTTTCACAGGCTCTCCTCCCACCCACAGCCCACTTACTGATGCTGCAACACACCCAGTCATACACTCTAGGTTATCTACCTCCTCTTTTTCTTACTGGTAACATTAATTTTTCTTGATTATTAAAACAGTGCATGCTCAAGGTAGAGTACTGAGAAAATACAAAGTATAAAAGGAAACCCTGCCACCCAGGGATCACCATAGATACATTTTATTGTCAATATATTTTCACATACACATTTCATAAGAAGTACCTCCTTGTTCTTTTTTTAATATTTTACTTATTTATTCATGAGAGACACACAGAGAGAGACAGAGACATAGACAGAGGGAGAAAGAGACTCCTCACAGGGAGCTTGATGTGGGACTTGATCACACCCTGAGCCAAAGGCAGAGTCTCAACCGCTGAGCCACCCAGGCATTCCTACCTTCTTGTTCTTTATGAGTATCTACATTTCTATGTACATGTTTCTCTACATATCTTTATGCATACCTGTGTTCACAGAATCTGTGTTCTTGGAAATTTCGATTCTTGTGTTAGCTGGAACCACCAGCATGACACAGAGTACTGATCATCACTCCAGACTCATAAATTCTCACACTGTATACACAGCATGAGCTTATAATCACTACAATGACGGGCAGACCAATAAGCCAAAAACCATACAGACACATGAAGGCTCACACCTGACGGTGACCATGCTTCTCCAGTTCCCAGGCTAAAACCCTGTAAGTCTTCTCTTTCCCCTTCATCTTTTATAGCTACTCAGTTGATGATTCCCAGCATTTCTTTTCTAGGAATGCCTGTTATGTCCTTCCCTTCCATTTGTGCTGGCACTTCCCTGGTTTAGGTCTTCCTCAACTCATATCAAGAATAATTCCAAGGGCACCTGGGCGGCTCAGCAGTTGAGCATCTGCCTTTGGCTTAGGTTGTGATCCAGGGGTCCTGGGATTGATTCTTGCATTGGGCTCCCCATAGGGAGCCTGCTTCCCCCTCTGCCTGTGTCTCTGTCCCTCTCCCTGTGTCTCTCATGAATAAATAAATAAAATATTTTAGAAACAGAATAATTCCACAAGCCTCTTAGATGTTAGATGGCTTCCCTGACTTCAGTATCATCCTCTTCTGATCTCCCCTGCATACCTCTGCTATATCAATCCATCTTCTCCCTTCTTAAGAAACTAGAATGGTTTCCCAATGCCTTTTTGATTACGCCCAAAGTCCTTATTAATATTATGCATGATCCTTCCATAATTCTGACCCATATTTCTACCATTACTTATTTCTTTCTTCTATTTGGACTGACTTATAACATATATACAGTAAAGTACCCACCTCTGAAACATATGACACAATGACTTTTTTTTTCTTTTTTGCATATACATACACCCATGTAACCACCAACCAGGTCAAAATATAGAACATTTCCAATACCTCAGAACTGCCATCATTTTTACTGGGTTTATAGCACTAGGCCAAACGTGGCTTTTTTTCTTTGCCTCCCTCCCTCCAACCTCATTTCTTCTTACTTTCATGATCCAAGTTCAAACTGGAATCATCGGGATGATGATTGAACAAGGTTACAAATGAACCTTGACATCTGTAAACTCAACTCTGCCTTGACCTTACTGAAGCTCTGTGCTTTACCTTTGTCTCTTTGATTTTGACAGCGATCATTTGCTTCCTCTGCTGGATGATCTCTACCAACTCGTCACATTCTTCCATAAGTTTTGCCTCATGCATAGCAGTATTCACCTGCCAAGAAAGTCCAGAATATTACATAGTGATTGCTGCCTTTGTCCTCTGCTGGCTCTCAAAGGTTCGGATTGACAGCTAAGCATGCACAACTTCTTCCATACCTCCCTCATAAGATCCACTCCTAGAAGAAGGGTAGAGATGATGATATTAATGATGCAAGGGCACTGAAGCACCATAGTTAGGAAGCCCTCCAGCCTCTGGTAGATCATGATGGTTAATGGAAGGCTGGGCAGAAGGACAGATGAGATGGGGGCATGTTATTCCCACTGTACAATTCCTTTTACTCCAGTACCCTTTACTCCTGCTGTTCTTTTGAAAAGAGGATAAGGAGATTTAAGTATGTCAGGAAAAGAGGATCTCTCTCCACAGACACAGCAATATTAAGATAACATTACAACAATCTATTTCTACCATCCTAAAAAATGTTTTTGATTTTCCTTGTTCCCTTCTAATTCTAAAACACATGAATGCACAGCTATAACTTCACAGTAAATATCTGCATGTGTAGATATATTTTCATAGACTTGTCATTATGTCTCTGTAGATATTTCTCACCTTCAGCTGTCCAGTAGCTGAATACCTATTCCTATTTTGGAATAGTGGCTACATCAAAATATCTCTACTGCAAAGTTGAAAAAAAAAGGGGGGGTGAAAAAAAAGCCACCATTTTCATTGTCTTTCCATATACTGATTTCTTCTTCTTCCCATCTCTACTACTCTTGGCATTAGATGGTAGGAAGCCCCCCTCCGACAGGGGCTAAAATGAGAGCAGGGATCTTTGGGTGGCCTAAGCGTAAGGCAAAGGAAGACAAATGAACTTATATCTCTTAAGCACTTAAGATTCCAAGCACTTTATAGATAAATTCTTTCATGTAATTACCACATGCACTTTATAATAGAGGAGCCATTTTTATTTCCATTTCACAGATGGAGAGACTGAAGCTCAGAAATTTTAGTGACTTGCTCAAGATCACACAGCTATTAAGTGGTAAAGCCAGAATTCAAGCCGAGTTCTGCCAAGTGAAACCACTGGGCTGGCTGGGTGGGCAGACGAGGTTCAGTTCCATTTGAGCAGCACACAGAGCAGTCACACAGGGAAGTACAATCATTCCAAGAGTCTATTCAAGGAGCACTCGAGCAGGGCTCTAGAAAGCTGAGGAACAGACAATGGGTTACTTGAGAGCATCAAAACCCTAGGGGCTAGATATATTAGCAGGGTAGGGCTGCATTTCCAATTGCCAGCCCTCTTTGGAGGACTCCTTTACATACTCCAAACCAAGCAAAATACCTGTCACTGAACCCTGCTGCCTGTTCTCTCATCCTTTGAGGTCCTCGCTGGCCAATTTTCGGTTTCTTACTTAACTGAAATAAAATACCCTTGCAGTATTTCAACTCTAATTTATTTCCATTTTCTGGAGGGAATGCCTAATGAGAGCTTCCATTTATTGTGAACAAACAGTCCCACCTTGGCCATTCGAATTTTTTTCTCAGACTCTTCCCCCTTTCCCTAAATTGGATCTACATGTCCAAGGCAGATAACCTCACCCTCTTGAGAAACTCCCAGTCGTGTGAGAATAAGAGATTCATCCAGTGCTCCCTGGATGTGTGTTTAGTGTATCTGGAGACCTAGTTCCTATTTCTAATTTCCTTTGGAAGCTGCTGAGAGTGTAGTACATCATGGTGGAGTGCCCTGTTTCTTGTCATTTAGCCCTTGGACTAACCCTTACATAATGTTCACTATATGCTAGGCACTGCCCTCAGCAGTTTATATATACTAGCTCTCTCAATCATCAGAGCAATCCTATGAGGCAGGTATCATCAGCCTCATTTTACAGATGGGAAAAGTGAGCGCACAGAGAGTAAGTAACTCACTCAAGGTTACACACCTAGTAAGTGGCAGAGTTGGGATTTGGACTCAGGAAGCCTGATGCTAGAGTCCACACCTTTAACCATCACACTAGGCTGCCTCCCCAGGCTAGTGTAACAAAATTCCTGTCCTGTTTCTGACAACCAGCATCTCTTTTGCTCTATCCACCTTTATTCTGTCATCCCATTGTCTTTAGTCATTTCTGATCATTAGAATGCCCTACACTTCCATGTCCTGTGCCCTCGCTCGAGACTTCTTTCACTTGAAAAGTCATTTTCCTATTTGTTTGTTGGACAAACTTCTACATTATCTTTCCAGGCCTTGCTCAAAACTCATCACTTTTGTAACTTTTTCTCACCTGCTTGGATGCAATTCATCACCTATTTATATCTCCACAGCGATATATATGTATATATAATTCAATTTTACTATTTACTACCTTATACCATAGGAATTTATTAGTCTGTCTTCCCCTACTCAAACATGAGTTCTGGAGGCCAGGACTGGTGTCTTTAACTGTCTCTCCAACATACTGACTGGTACACAGTAGATGTTCAGTAAATATTTGTTGCATTGAATCAAATGGGGGTAGGGAGTATCTTGCTGCTTGCTAGATACGTCCACTTGGTTACTCAAGTTACTCTAAATTCATTATATCTAAAAACAGACTCATCTCTCCCCTCTAAATATGGCTTCCACCTGATTTCTTTTATTTCTTTTTTTTTCTAATGCTACTATTAGTACTTAAGTTACTCAGGTTCAGTTACTTCTGATTTCTACCTCTCTCTCATCCCCGGCATAAATCCACAGCAGTCCCAAAGTCCTGCCCCTCCTTTTCAAACTCACTAAAATTCTTCTGGCAATACAACGAGGCTCTGAGCCAAGGAATCAGTAAGTTGAAACCCTTATCATCCTTCTGGACTATTACCATAAAAGTCTTATTAATTCATCCCCTTACCTCCAGAATCTTTCCTTTGCCACCCACCCTCATAACCCATCCTATACATACCCTGAAATCAGGAAAAATCATCACTGTCTTCAACATCAAACATGTATTAAGCATCTTGTGTGTGTGTGTAATGCATTATGCTCAGGCCCTGCTCTCAATAAATTTGCAATCTGAATGGGGAAAAGCCACATGCATATAAAACAAACAAGTCAAGGCAGCATACCAATAAGTGATGTAAAACATAATCTACAGAAATCGAAGGGAAAGATCGCTTTTGGTGGGGAAGTAGAGAAAAGATGCCTGAAGGAAATGGGACTTGACCCTCAATGATGGACAGGACTTAGATTTTAAAGGTAAAAAGGAGGAAAATTTTGAGGCAAGCTAACGAAATTGCACTTTATTCATTAGGCATTATGGTATCTTTGAAAAATATTGTTTGGAAAGTAGGATGGTGAAAGAATGAATTTTTAAAATATATACATATATTTTAGGATGTTTGGAGGGCTCAGTGGTTGAGCATCTGTCTTTGGCTCAGGTTGTGATCCTGGGGTCCTGTGATGGAGTCCCCCATCAGGTTCCCTGCAGGGAGCCTGCTTGTCCCTCTGTCTATGTCTCTGCCTCTCTCTGTGTGTCTCTCATGAATAAATAAATAATCAAAATCTTTAAAATATATATATATTTAATTGAAGTGTAGCTGATACTCAATGTTACATTAGTTTCAGGTGTACAACACAGTGATGACTCTACACTGTGCTCACCACAAGTGTAGCTCCCATCTGTCACCACACAATGCTATTACAATACCACTGACTGTATTCCCTTTCCTCTACCCTTTATTTCCTGTGACTTATCCATTCCATAACTGGAAGCCTCTATCTCCCACTTCCCTTCCCCTTTTGCCCACCCCTTGGTCCTCTTCTCTGGCAACCATTAAGTTAACTTTCTTTTTAAAGAGATGACCTGGGATTGATTTGATTGGTGGTAATGGTAAGCTGGTGCAGTGGAGTGGGGAGGCGTGCATGATTTAAAAATTACTGTGATATTAACAGGGCCTAGCCAAAGAAGGTAACAGGAATCGAAAGGAAAGGTAAAAAACGAGAAGCACTCCCTTGCTTGGAAATCTTCAGACAGCAAGCTCCTTAAAGAAAGTTTTTATACCCCTTTGTATCTCCTGCTGTAACCAGCACAGTGCCTTACACACAACAAACATTTCCTGATTGATTTAGTAAAATGAAAAATCATAGTAAGAATGACAAACATTGGAAAATGGACTATGGTAAATGCATTTTTTAGAGAAGATGTAGATTGAAGTGAGGGAGCTAGGGAGGGCTTTGGACAGTTGCTGTGGGCAAAATCAAACAGCCAAGCACAAGTAGTAGAGCAGAAATTTGGCTGAAGAGGCAAAATCCCAAATTAAAGGTAAAGCAGCGACATTAAAATTTTTCCATGTCAAGAAGCAGCCCAAAAGAGCAGGTTCCTTGAGTGTTGTCTAAGTAGGAAATACTCCAGGGTAAAACTGTCCTCATGATGTGAATAAAACATCTCAAATTGCTTTAGAAGGTACTTGAAAGCCCTGGTATTTTCCTTTTCTGCAGTTTTCCTTGAAATTGCACTGACATATTTCACTTGCTTATTAACCCTTAGTTGAAAACAACTGAGCATTTGTGGTTGGGTGGGTGGTTGGTGGAAGATTCCAGATCTTTATTCAGCCTTTGGCTTTTTAGTTTGGGTTAGTGGGTTTGACTAGAAGGCTTTATATCTGTGGAAAAATCTGTCCTCCCCAAAAATACCATTAGGGTAATCTTGGCAACCTACTTGTATAAATCTCTCCATCCCCTAAAAAGGCCAATTTTTGTGGGGTGGGGGTGTAGTTTCTGGTGTCTGAGATTGAGTCCCAGCATGAGTCTTCCAAGGCCTAAGCACTAGAGAGTACAGGTCTCCCTGTCGGGTCTCCAGGTCCTTTTCTCTGCCCTGTGCTCTTTTCTTCCTTCTCAAAGGCAGTGAGAATTTGACTGGCACATCTTTATCCAACTGCCTAGCCTACTGTTTCCCAAAGTTCCTTCCTACCTCCCAGACCAAAGATTAAACCCATAGTTGGACCTGGTCTAATTCCCATCCTTCTCTGACACAGACACACACATCCCATTAGAAGGATTTTACTGTTGGTTACTACACAGAAAT